ATGCGTATTCTCAACTATGACATCCCAGACAAAACATTGGTAATAAAACCAGTGTTTCTAATTGTGTCCTGTTACAAGTAAAACAGAGTTTTAGTGAACTTATGTAAATAACTATTTTGTCATGAGAATAAGAATACTCTCTAAGAGCTTTGAAATTCTAGAGGGATTGGGTAGGGAGAACAAAGATAACTTTTCAATTTAAAAGATAAAGTTTCAATTCTGCTTACAAAGGTATAATTTATCAAATTGCTGTTAACTGGCAATTAGCTTAAGAGGAAAGGTTTTCTTTTATCTGGAAAACAAAGATTAAAAAGCCAATAATATTTCAGACGAAAAGTCATAAAAATTAGAATTATAATTATCAGTTCATTCAGTCCCATGTAATTAATTCTTGTTGATCTTGACCTTTTGTTAGCAGTTTTATGAAGCCATCAGGCTTTTCCATTAGAGCTCTGTAATTTCTTACCCAGTTCAGTGGTCTGATCTGAAGGTTTTCAGAAACCTGTATTTGTCAAAACATCTTTCCTACGAACTTTCTTGAAGGTGAAGCATTTTTTAAAATCATCAGAGTAAAACAGTAACTTTATAAATGACAAAAGACTTAAAATAGCATGGTAAAAGATCCGATTACAATGCAGTTGACAAGGGAACCTGGTTATTTCTGTAACATACAACATTTTAAGATAATAACTAGAATTATGACTAATAACATTATGTCAGTACATATCTGAATTTTTAGGATTTTATATAATTTCTAGAATATATATGTTGATAACATTTATTCATCCAGAATAACCTACGAAGGTCTATCATCATGTACGTGACAATGCTTCCCATGTAATTAAACACACCCAATGAGCCTAATTAGTTCAATACTTCTCTTTGAGATTTTTCAGGGGCCCTCTGAAAAATCCCAAAGTTAGCTAGCGGTCAAAAGTACTGCATTTAGAATTTGATTTGGGTAAGTCTGTCAAAGATATCAAAAGGTTTAAAAACACTTGGTGAAACAGGATCATAGGTCACTGTGAAACAATGCTTAGTTATCCATTTAATCAAAGTGACAAAGACTTCACAGGCAAATAACTTTTTTTTTTAACTACATAGCTCTTATAATACTGAAAAGACTCAGTTTAATTAATCAAAGACCTGATAAAAACAACATAAGAAATTATTCTGATAAAACGTAAAACCCTTCTTTTTAGGCAGACTACTCAAAGGTAAAGAAAAATATTTTACAATTTCTTTATGAAGAACAGACTTTTTTCTTTTACAGAGGAGGAAGACAAGATTCTAATTTTGTACCAGCTTACTTTTAATATTAAGACTCATTCACTCAAATTTATTCTAATCTCAGCCAGTCCTGACCACACACAAAACTCTTTTCTTAGGGATAGGGTTAGGGTTAGAGTTGCTTTTCCATAAACCTTCCATAACTCCCTTTTTTAACATTCAGATTTTGTCTTATGCTTTCCCTTCTCCTTAAACCTCTTTTTAAGACAAAATTACTTTATTTTACCTTAACGAAATGCATTCCCGTTCCTTATACCTTCTTAAAAATTTCCTCACATATGCAGATGTTTTCTTTATTAATTTTAGTAGTTCTATAATATGTTCATTAGAATTCTTAACCCTAGAAACCTTAATTTCTACTGAAAACTAAGTAAACAATTGTGAACTGTTTGTTATGCCAGCATTTAAAAAATACATTTCATAATGTATATTTTACATGTATTACGTATTAATAGAAGTAATACATTTCTAGCAACATACATTTCCTAACAGCATAATTATTTCTTTTTCTCAATGTGGTATAAGACACATTTCTAATAGATCCAAACATCTTTAGTTTTTTTTGTAACAAGAAGACAAAAAGGAGGTAAACTTAGACTTGCTTAGTAATTAATGTTTCAATATCTTATTTTATTTGGAAATGATCTAGACATTCAATGAATTCCCATCACTTAACTTAGCAAAACTCTAAAGTTTTAAGTTACCAAAAGAACTTGGAACTTTGGAAGCTATTTCTAAGTCTTATCCCATTTACATTTCTCTAAATCATTTGTTCCAGACACTTATGTTTAAAGTGCCCATGAAAACTTCAGGAAATGTTACACACAGCCAGCCACCATCCCAGGCTGTTTTTCTTGCTGACAAACCTTGTAACGGAGATAATATGAATCTATGTGACAAGTAAACCCAAGTAGAGTAACAGTTTTATATATGATGCTGATAATTCTAAAGACATGTCTATTTTCACTAAAGCACTAACTTTAAGTTTGTTTCTGTATACTGAAAGTTA